AAAACACATGCAAAGCACATAAACGTAGCGTTTGGGGATCAATTTTACAGCTTCATCCAAACGCCTGTAAAAAACGTGCAGCACAGGATCCTGCATTTAGGCATGCAGCCCCCCCTCCTGCTGAATGGGTATAAAAATCCACATCAACGGCTGTTCATACAGTCCTTATAACGGCAGTAGAGGCGGTGACAGATTGCCAAGACTGAATGCAGCTCAACGGAGCAACGCCATTGGGAGATTACAAGCTGGAGCAACTCAGCAAGAAGTGGCCAGGCACTTTGGCGTATCCAGACAGACAATCTCCGCACTGTGGACCCGATACAACAACACCAACAGAGTTGACGACAGACCAAGGGTGACAACCCAAGCACAAGATCGATACATCCGGCTGCGACACATCCGAGACCGCACTACCACAGCCACGTCTACAACCACACAGATCCCTGGGGTACGCAGAATATCAGATCAAACGGTACGCAACAGACTGAGGGAGGCTGGACTTTTTGCACGAAGACCTGTTCGACGTCATGTATTGACCCCACGTCATCTGGCGGACCGTCTGCTTTGGTGCCAACAGAGGGTTAGATGGGCACGTGCAAGGTGGAGAAATGTACTGTTTACTGACGAGTCCCGTTTCCTACTCACACGTGCTGATGGGCGCACACGTGTCTACAGACGTCGGGGTGAACGTTACGCCCCCAACTGTGTGCAGCAGGTTGTCCCATTTGGCGGCGGGAGTGTCATGGTATGGGCCGGAATTCATCACGGTGGTAGGACGCCTCTCGTGCATGTGGCAGGTGCATTGACAGGTGTGCGTTACAGAGACTTTATCCTACAGCCTTACGTTCTTCCTCACGTCAACGTTCATGGCGGACAGTTCCAGCAGGACAACGCTCGACCGCATATTGCACGTGTTTGTAAGGACTTCTTATAGCACAACAACATCCAGACATTACCTTGGCCAGCCCGGTCACCAGATTTGTCCCCGATTGAGCATCTGTGGGACGAGTTGGATCGACGCGTTCGCAGAAGGAATCCACCGCCCTAAACACTTCCGGCGCTTCTTGATGCACTTCAGCATGAATGGCAGCACACCCAACAGCGTGTTATTGACAACTTGATTGCATCTATGGGTCGTCGGTGTCAAGCGGTGATTGATGCACGTGGTGGGCACAACCGATACCTACATTTTCTGTACCCCTGTGACATTAAGTGTATCGTGTACGTGTGTCTGTCTAGGTGAAACGACGAATGTTTTGAACATTGTGTACATTGATCTTCAAACAGTGTTTCAATTATGGTTTCTGTGTCCTATTTTGAAACAATCGCATTATATTACATTTTGAAAGTCAGTGTCAAGTTTCTTTTTTTGAAGAGTATATATATCTTTGCTGCTGAATATTCGAAACAGAGTGACTGAGTTGGTACTACACATGTATACGGTTCCATTTAAATGACTGCAGTGCTCCATTATGAAAACAAATTGTTTTAACGCCGCTCTCAGCAGTATTCCATTGATATATGACGGCGGTCTGTTGTATATGAAATAAATGCAAATTGAATCATGAATCTTGAAAGTTGTAGCTTTTCCGCAAATCAGTATCACATGCAGTCTGCAGAATTACTGCAATTTACTGTATACAACATGCAGTTTACAGTGTGTCGCGAGCTCCGCGCTGGGCTGGAGCACACATTTCCTACCCCTCTCCCTTCGGCAAACACCTCATGTGAGGTGTAACGAGGTCACAGGTCAGGCGTGCACTCGTCAGTTGTCGTCTACAGTCAAGAGTAAGATCTTCCGGACGATCACTGCACTAGAGGAATGTGGATTGTTGATGAGGTACAACGTGTTTGGAACTGGGAGTTGAACACTAAGCACTTATAGAGAAGAGCTCACCATAAAACGTTATGTCCTCGCGGACGGACTTGTGTTTTCAATTCAAGACGTACATATATGATACGTACGACAGATATAACTAGGTTACCGCTCCCTAACTGTAACATTTACCGCAGGTTGAGTTAGATTGGAAGTTGTTAATATCCATCTGAAAAGATGTTATCTATTGTCACATATTCGTGTTTGAGAAGCATTTATCCTCAAACAGAATATTGACCTTGCATATGAGCCCAACGTAGGATTGCTTTGTTGTATTTATTTAACACGCTAACAATTCAGAATGCCTGTCATTTTCTGCATACAGTCACGTCCTTACTACTTTCATGAACCTCTGGTGACGTCATCCTATTATTTTTATTGGGCCTTCTTTTCGTAGAACCACATCTTAACTATTCTATTCTATAGAATATCACTGGGTCAAAGGACACCCCTCTAGATCTGTTTTTTAGAATGTACTTCCTCGTTAGTGAATTATTTTACATTAGATTGTGCGGAATCATGTAACATCAAATGACAACTATCCATGTATATTTTCGTGGGAATTAACTTGCAAGCTTCGTATTTGTACATGTGTCTAACACCACTAGTCGACAGAGGCGCTCACACGCCAGGGTGCTTTGAAGAAACATATATTTTATGTCCGTTTCAATGTGTTCATGGAAAGTGTAGTGGAAACATGAAATTGTTGATAAATGTTGATTCAGATTTTTCTTTTGGTTTATAAGACAGATACGACACTTTGCATCGGGTGTAATTAGAAATGTAAACACTCAGGGTCGGGGTTTATCCTTAACAAAGACAATGAAGGTCACGAACATTCAATTACAGATGTACATGGAGGGGGCACCTGTTGGATTCTGCTGACACATTGACATCGCTTTCCTCATGAAGACCGTTTTGGTACTGTCACTGTAACTGCTGGCCGCTTCCGTCTGGACTTCCACCATCGGATGGTGGCTTTTTGGTGACTCGGAAAGAGAGACACGTAGATCAGCAGAGCCGACGAAGTCGAACGTCCTGCACCACCAACCGGCAGTCCTCCCCCACCCGAGGGAGACGGACCTCCACGTCCACGCAGACATGTAGAACAAGAAAGTGAACGTCCTTCACCACCAACTTTCATTAAGCCAAACATACACTTGTTTAAGCTCTCGTTATATTTGGACTCGATTATTGTAACAACATCCTATCTGGCCTATATCCTAAGCTCATTTACAAGCTACAGTTGTAAATAATCCAGCTGCACGCATCATTAGAACACCTGTTCTGAGCGACACCAACTGGCTGCCTGTCAGGGCCCGGATTGACGTCAAGATACTTTGTTTCATATGTACATTTCTTCACAGACTGACACCCTCTTACACCCTAAACTAAGGAAGGGTATTCTATATATAAGAGACCCGTGAAGACCCGGGGTAGAATAGGTCTTTAGCAACCCCTGCTTTCCGAAAAAGGCGCCTATGCTTGTCGTAAAAGGCCACTAACGAGATCGGGTGGTCAGGCTCGCTGACTTGATTGATGTATGTCATCGATTCCAATTGCATGGATCGATGCTCATGATATTAATCATCACTGGATTGTCTGGCCAAGACTCGATTATTAACATACCGCCGTCATATAGCTAGAATATTGCTGAGTGCGGCGTTAAACAACCAACCAACCAAGACCCTAAACACATGACTTCAGTTCAAATCATGAACACCCCTTGACTGTACCACCATGACGTCCGTTGGCCATCAATCATTTTCTAAGACAGCTCCTATCGTATGTACCGATCGTCCATTCAGCATAAATGACTTTGACAATATGGACAGATTCAAATGTGCCGAACAGTAATCACATGATTAAACCCCACCTGACTTGTAAGCTCGTGATTCTTCGGTCTTTGTGGGAAGGGAAATTTATAAACCTTTTTTATATTTTTTTTTGTTTACTGCTGTGAACAGAAGTTTTGAAGTCTTGTTTGAGTTTTTCAGCTAAGAAGAGCATTTTATGGATAATAAATTCAAGTTTGTAATAGATTGTGTTTGCTTACTCATTTTGGCAGATGTTTTCAACGTATTAATATATACTTGATGCTATATATAGTGGATACTCTGTTGATAGGTATCGATGCCCCCTGACTCTAACAGTCATCACACAAGCTCAATAACGGAGATATAATACTCTCTTATGATTCGTAATGATTGATGATCAACCTGGAGCATGTAACTTGTCTGCATTTTGCACCAAACAATGACAATTAATTTTATATAATCACATGAAGAAAATATTCATGTATATCGTAAAATAGTTATAATAGATAGTGCTTTGGGTATTGGTTCCCAAGTAGCCTAGGTGCTAACATTTGTCAAAAACATATTTTGGATGGTTCGAATCCATTTTCGCCGTTCGTACGTTTCTGGGATTGACAGCACCATACCCGTGCGCCTGGGTTTGACAAAACTGGTATATGATAAACTATGACCCAAATGATATTGGGCATTACTGCTATACCAAACTGACAGGCCGTAATATAACATAAATACTTTTCAAAACGTTAAGCTAAACTCACTCACTTACCAAATATACTATATGTGTTTCACGGTTGAACATTTAAGCGGCATAGGTATGGACTGACATATATAATGATACTGAAGCTACATTTCCATGTATTAATCTCATATGCGGAGAGGTGCGGGTGCAGCGTGTGTGTTGTGTCTCCCTGGTGTAGTTATGCATTTTGTATGCGTTTATTACCCTGGTGAAACTTACGAGCGCTTCATGGTGTTGACCAACAAAAAACTATACACAGAGGGAATCTGGGATTCGAACCCAACGTAGTCGACATCGTTTTTGTTACTATGTTGGAATCATTGGTAAATTAAATGACTGAGCGACTAAACCCTTTCCATGATCAAAAGGAATCCAATCTATAAGCAGATCTAGAGCTTACTGTGTGGTTTCCACTATCTTCGCGTACTGTGTTTTCGAGCGCCTAAGAAGTATTTCTCATTACGTGTCTAATAACAATCGCAATGTACTAAAATTAAGTCTTACCTTTGAGAAATTTATTTCAACTGGATAGTCAAATGACAACATCTTGACAATTAAATCATGATAATGCCTCGCCAAGCAAGACGGGTCAATCTGGTGCCATCTTGTTACCATCTCCTGATTTCGAGCCCCTCCATGTCAGTCAAGTTAAAAACAGATGCACAACATGATCTGTCACATGACATCACAGACAGGAAGTTTACAAACAGCCGATACGTCATCGGTGCATACGAGTGTTCTGATGCAAAACGCCAACATTGATTCAGTATTCCAGAGAGGCAGGACAATCCAGAACATCCTCAGCGCCAATGGCGCGCCCCCTACATCTAAAAAAGAAGACCCAGCTGGAGCCGTATATCACATACAATGTGCGTGCGTTTAGGGATTTAACGACCGCTTCAGCCGTCGGCTATTTCGCAGTCGGGGAAGGTGGGGAAGAGATGATAAATATAACAATAAAGTTAAACACCATTCCCAAAAAACTATAAAGGAGGGGTATAAAACCTAGTAAGAGGGGGGTAAAGAGAGAGAGTTATACTTAGCAGCTAAAGTAGTCCTAGTTTGTACAGCATATGGTGATAAAAGTTACAGTTAAGCTGTAATTTAGAGATAAGGGGTTGTATAAATAAAGAAAAATGGGATAAAGCCTAAAGTAAGTCTAGAATAGCTGGGGTAGGGGAGGGGGGTGGAGAGAGAGCTTGGTCGGTGTTGTGCATCTCGCTGGGCTTGGGTATCAAGGTGGTATGGATAACTGATAATGAGCTTGTGTAGGCTGGTAAAGAGAGTTTGATCGCGCGGACGTCGTAGAAGACAGTCCGCGCTGGAAATTTCAATCCCGATCCGAAATAAGAAGTTTGTTTACATTTGAAGATGGTTTGTTAGGTTTTATTTGGGAGGGTCAAAAACAATAATAGATAGGAGTTTGGCAATATATATTTAGTGGCGGAGCGTCAGGACGTGGTAGCGGTCATGGAGGGCGAGGAGGGTCTAGGTGTCGGGGACAAGAAGGCCCTGGAGTAGGTGTTTGATCCAACTGTAGTCCTGGGTAGTGAGGGGGTGATAAGATTTTTTAACTAAGTGGGCCGTGCTGTTTTTGATGAATTGGGAGGTAAGTTGTATACCCTGGTCCTGGATATCTGTTAGGAAGGAGTTTAGGTCTTGAATATTTAGTATTTGGTGTTCAAAGCGCTCCTGGTTCAAGTACTGAATCATTGTAAAATTTGGGTGATCTTGGGAGCTTTTATAAACGCATATGCCGGGGGCTTTTAATGTTAGTGGTGAGGGTAAGAGATAGTGGTCATTAAGGATTTTGTCTGCAAGTTGGCAGAGATCTGAAGTGAGCTGGTGTTCTGTGAAGTAGCTATGTTGGGCCGGGTCTGTTTGGGTGGGGGTTTCAGTAAGGGAGGGGGGCCTCCTGGGGGAGGTGTGGGCGTCCTTTGTGGTAATTTTTGGCGAGGGGGTGGGGGGTGGGGAGGGTGGTGATAGAATCTCCAGGGTTTGGGTTGCGTTGTCGAGACTAGGAATAGAGATAGGAGGACTTTGGAGAGTTTGAGTGGCATGATCCATGAGGGGTGGTTGGGTAGGGGTGGGGATTGGAATAATTTCATGATTGTTATAAGGAGGTGTAGAGGGAAAAGGTTCGGTTTCCATGGCAACATGGGATTGAATGGGCGCTTGGGGTTGGGGGCTGGGTGACTGGGGGGGGGGATTTGAGCTGGTTGTGGAGGGGGTGCAGGTGACGTAGGTTGAGGTCTGGGTCTTTTGGGGTCATTTAAATTGAAGGTTATGGTGATGGTTTTGGTGGCGGCCGCCATGTCGGCGTGAAGGGCAAAATAAGAGACCCTAAAATTTAGGAGTGGGGTTATAACGCCGACTATGTCCCTGGGGAGTGACTTGTTTATGGATCGGTCCGTTTTAAACATAGTTGGTAAGGTAATCCAGTGATGAGAATGTGAATCCAGCTGGGTAGGTAATCCAAGGAACAGGGGTAATCTCCGTGAGTGGAATAGGGAACAACGAGGAGGATGGTGAACACAGATGGCCGTGTAATCCAGTGAACAGTGGTGCCTGGTATTGATCCGTAAATGGAATCCAGTAGGTAGTCCGTAGGTAATCCGTAGGTTTCGTGAATGGATGAATGTAGCTCCGTGGAGGAGCAAGCGAGAGATAGATCCGTATAGGGCCTGAAACGACACGAATAACGACGACGACGACGATGTACAATGTGACTGTGGCGACTCCTATGTAGGAGAAACATCCAGGCCCCTACCCATTAGAATAAAAGAACACAAGACCTCAGTACAAAAAAATGACTCAAAATCAACCATCTCCGACCACACCCAAACCCACCCCGATCACAACATCCAGTGGAACAACATCAAGATCCTGGCCAACAACCAATCAGATGTAGGGGGCTTGCCATTGGCGCTGAGGATGTTCTGGATTGTCCTGCCTCTCTGGAATACTGAATCAATGTTGGCGTGGTGTTTGAGCAGTCTGCGGATCTGGTGGCTGGCTGTTCCTATGTAGGGAAGACTGATGACGAACGGAAGCCATCCACATCAAAAGGATCCAGCCAGCAATGAACAGAGACCAAGGCTATTACATCCCGCCTGCTTACCATCACCTAATTGCTCAATCCCTTTGTCCATCCAATTAATACAGTGGCTTCCATCATCTCCATCAGTTAGCTTGTCTACTCTGCTAGTATACTCTGTGTTCATCAGTCATCCACTGGCTTCCAATTAGCTTAATCACCTCTCTGTGCCCATCGACTAGTCACTGTAACAACTTAGATGTCAATAAGTGTATATATACCTATGTTGTTTAGCCCTATCCATCACTTGCTTGATGAAGGTGTTAGGATCTACACCGAAACGTCGCACCAATTGTAATAAAGAAGTTGTTCATCCATAGAACTCGTCTCAAGTTATCTTGCCATCTGGCAACAGTGAAAGAAAATGTTTTTTTATCATACGATGTGCAGAATGAGTTTGTAACATCTGAAAAATATGTAAAACATATGTTTGTATTAATAATTAATATGGAAACATATTTCTACCTCAACTTGCACTTTGCATAAACAATCAGGTGTGAAAACACATCCAGTGCAAACATATTTCTGGTATCCGATAATCCATCCACCAGAAGAATGCTTGATTCTGATTGGTCCAAATAACATTAAAATCCGGTATCTAATCCCATAAATACATCCAAAGTATTCAGTTTTTTCGTTCTCAAAGAGAAATAATTTAGACAGTTTCGGTTGCCCATCATCAAACAAACCACCAGTTAACGTGACATTACAGATGTCCTTTTCTACATAATGGTTTGGAGTGAAAAATAGAAATTTAATACCTTAATGTTTCTACACACTCACGGCCTCAATTTCTACAAAAACAACAAAGCATCCCGATTACTCACCGTAATAGGCAGGACTTGACAAAACAGATGAGTAATGTTGCTTTTAACCACTCTGCTCTACTAGTACTGTTATTGATGTGTGTTGGAAAAATTGTAACTCACTCCTGTGTAGAACAGACATATTTATTTTCTTTATTGGATGTTCACTCAGACAATCTTACCTTTAACTTTACAAAGAGTAGTTGCTAGTAATTCATAAACATATCATGTTCATAAAGTAAGTAGTGAGTAGTAATAGTAAAAATGAGCGTATACAATAATAATAATAATAATAATAATAATAATAATAATATTGCACAAAGGACATGATTGTGTAAAGCACATAGGATATACATATGCACAGAAACAAATAATTCAAATGAAACTGTCAGGTTGTTATATTGAACATATATAGGGCCTACCACCTACCATCCCAGAAATGTTGCAACACGGGGTGTAAAAGGTATAACATTATTTGCATACATATGAAAAATATAACTACATAATAAATATATGTAAAATGGTAGAATTAGTGGTAGCATTCAAATTTGTAGTGGATTCTCAGATATTTGGCATTTGGTGCGTTGCTCGCGACACCAACCAGTGGTGTGTGGTCCAAATCCACTTACATATCTGTTTAACAACATTCCCTTTCAAGGATTAACGTTCCTCAAAACGCCTTCGGATAACATGATAATCAATATCTACTCACTGTCACCTACCATAGGGGAATATGGTCAATGGTTCGCAAGGTAAACAAGCTTTCATTGTTGAAGTCACAGAAGTCTTGTAATGATACAATGTAAGACTAAAGTTCAAATTAAGTCTATCTATCGCAATCACATATATGAGAAGGTAAGATAGACATAATTGTATAATAATGATCACCATACTTATACTGTAGCATTACTGTGTTAAACAACTTATTAACCTAAGTCGTACGTGGTTGTGCTTTCGCATTAAAATCGTATGACTAATTTGACCAATGGACATGTATTTTCGCCACAGTAAGTTCTACACCATCAGATGACATTGTTCCAGTGAAATCGTTGTATAGTGTTACATCACACAGCGGCTAGCGTAAAGTTTTCGTCTACCGAAAATCACCAATAAACATTAAGCAAATTAACAAAAGAACAGAAATGACACAAAACTAAGGTAACCATATGGGTCCAGAAGGTCTGCGGCTGCCAACTGAATATTGTTCGATGTTGCTGAAGAGAGTGATGCTACTGTGGAGGTGCTGAAGGTTGAGTCATGTTTCCCCAGTTGTAATAGGTGTACATTGGGGTGAAGTCGGTGTCTCCCTGGGTATGCTCGTTCTCACAGTCATCCTGGATGTTAACTGTGCCAAACGTGCATTCGGCATAGGATGGTTGAGCTACACGTTCAAACAAAATTATATTTTTCACTGGAGTAACATCATATTTACAAGTGAAAATTTAAAAACCATTGATAAAAGATAAAATGTCTCATAGCATGCGTGAGAAGAATTGCAATGGTTATCAAAATGATCAGCGTGAGTTATGGAGAAGAATTGCGGAGTGGAGTAAATCAGTTGTTTTGAAACAAAGCGACTGGGGAAAGATAAAACAAAGTTGCAAAGAGGATTGGAGCGGAAAGAGCGATTGGAGAGAAAAGCCACCGGAGATGAGAAGAGAAACATGATCAGGAGAGAGAAATATGTCAGGCATTAAGAAGAGCAGCTCGACATAAGAAACATGTAAGTCATTGAGAAGAGCATATGACGGGAGAAGCATGTCAGTCATTGAGAAGAGCATATGAGGGGAGAAGCATGTGAGTCATTGAGAAGAGCATATGAGGGGAGAAGCATGTCAGTCATTGAGAAGAGCATATAAGGAGAGAAGCACATCAGTCACAGAAAAGAGCATATAAGGAGAGAAGCATGTCAGTCACAGAGAAAAGCATATGAGGGGTGAAGCGCATCAGTCACAGAGAAGAGCTCGTGAGGGGAGAAGCGCACCAGTCATTGAACAGGGCATATGAGGGGAGAAGCATGTCAGTCATTGAGAAGAGCATATGAGGGGAGAAGCGCATCAGTCACTGAGAACAGCATAGGGGAGAAGCGCATCAGTCACTGAGAACAGCAAAAGGGAGAAGCGCATCAGTCATTGAGAAGACAGCTCGATGGAGGAAGTGCAGTCATTGAGGAGAGCATATGAGGGGAGAAGCATGTCAGTCAAAGAGAAGAGCATATATGGGAAGAAGCATGTCAGTCATTGAGAAGAGCATATGAGTAGAGAAGCGCAACAGTCACAGAGAAGAGCATATAAGGGGGGAAGCGCATCAGTCGCAAGGAAGAGCATATGAGGGGAGAAGCATGTCAGTCATTGAGAAGAGCATATGTGGGGAGAAGCGCGTCAGTCACAGAGAATAGCATATGAGGTGAGAAGCCTGTCAATCATTGAGAAGAGCATATGAGGGGAGAAGCGCATCAGTCACAGAGAAGAGCATATGAGGGGGGAAACATGTCAGTCATTGAGAAGAGCCAATGTGGGGAGAAGCGCATCAGTCACAGAGAAGAGCAAATGTGGGGAGAAACATGCAAAACATGTGAAACATAGCGACTGGGGAAAGATAAAACAAAGTTGCAAAGAGGATTGGAGCGGAAAGAGCGATTGGAGAGAAAAGCCAACGGAGATGAGAAGATAAACATGATCAGGAGGGGAGAAATATGTCAGGCATTAAGAAGAGCAGCTCGACGTAAGAAACATGTCAGTCACAGAGAAGAGCATATGACGGGAGAAGCATGTCAGTCACTGAGAAGAGCATATGAGGGGAGAAGCGCATCTGTCACAGAGAATAGCATAGGGGAGAAGCGCATCAGTCATTAAGAAGACAGCTCGATGGAGGAAGTGCAGTCATTGAGAAGAGCATATGAAGGGATAAGCGCATCAGTCACAGAGAAGAGCATATGAGGGGAGAAGCGCATCAGTCACAGAGAAGAGCATATGACGGGAGAAGAGCATCAGTCACAGAGAAGAGCATATGTGGGGAGAAGCATGTCAGTCATTGAGAAGAGCATATGAGGGGAGAAGCGCATCAGTCACAGAAAAGAGCATAGGGGAGAAGCGCATCAGTCATTGAGAAGACAGCTCGATGGAGGAAGTGCAGTCATTGAAAAAAGCTCGTGAGGGGAGAAGCTTGTTAGACACTGAAAAGAGCAGTATGACGGGAGAAGGGCGGCCAAAGGGGAAAAGAAAGACCGGAGCCGTGAAGAATGGCCTGATTGATTGGTGACTGACGCAGAGAAGAGTGACAGGCAAGTTGAGAAATGAGGACGGATTGTGAACAGTTGATGTTTTAACTTTCAGGAAGTAGAAAGACGGCAGGAAGGAAGTGAAACTCACGCATTCCCTCTGTAGGTGGGGCGTCAGCCTGCGCACCTTCCTTGAAAAGGTGATCCTGGTCAGAACCTTGGATCTGAGGCGCAGACCCATTCTGTTCGAGTGTGGACTTGAGTGGTATTGATCCAATGATCACTTTCAGGGGTATTTCTAACTTCAACGCGGGACCAGCAGGTTCCACACAAAACTGAAATCGGTTAAAATACTTACGAAAATAAAACATTCTCTAAATGTAATGAAAGATAGCACAATTGTAAGTTTATTTGGAACTGATAGAAAACATCTTCCAAAAAAGGTTTATCTGCTTTATCTGCATCATCTGCAGTGATGTATAACACATTCATTACATTTTTACCCGTGATATTCTACTAGGAAGACAGTTTCTTTATACAGATGAAGATGAAGCGCCAATGGGTGGCGTCAGTCTGCTTACACATACCTTCACATAGTAATCAATGACGATTATACTGCAGCCATTTAATTTGGATGGTGGAACTGGTGGTATCGGTAGCAGATCTCCGGTCCATATATCTGATTCTCCAGGAAGGATTTCACCGTGGGATATCTCGCCTAATTTCTTGGTGTTGGTACGTGATTTTTTTGGTGCATGATAAGTCACAACCTAAAACACGGAATGTAGTTTCAGAAGCTAATGCTACGAGAACATTAATTAAAACACGGAACTACATATTATTTCGAAATTACAAGGGGTGGAAAAACGTCTCTTCGTGTTAGGTAGGGAGAAATTATAAGGTTTCAAGGTTTTATATTT